GAGGAAGACTCATCAACAATCTGAGTTATGCAGATGACACAACCTTGCTTGCTGAAACTAAGGAGAGCCTGAAGTGCTTGCTGCAAAAGGTCAAGGACTGCAACCATAAAAATGGATTGAAGCTCCGTATAAAGAAAACGAAGATTGTCACCTCTGGACCAATCGGCATCATCATGATAGATGGTAAAGAAATTGAGATTGAAAACAATTTTAGTTTGCTTGGCTCAATAAGTCACACTCTTAATGACCTCTCCAAAGTACTGAAGAGCAATGATGTCAGTCTGGAGACTAAGGTGTACCTGCTACAGGCCATGGTCATTGCAATTCCTTGCTCTGCATCAGAGACCTGGACAATGACTAGGGATGATAGAATGATAATTCATGCATGCCTTTGAACTGTGGTGCTGGAGAAGAGTGTTGAATATACTATGGACTGCTAAGAGAATGAAAAGGTTCATTCTGGAGAGGGTAAAACCAGGCAAAACCAGGCTGTTCCTTGGAGGCAAGAATTCTAAAGCTTCATCTGACATACTTTGGATATGTTGCAAAAAGGGACCAGTCCTTGGAGAAGGATGTCTGCTTGGGAGGGTGGAAGGATAGCACAGGAGAAGACCTTTGATGAGATGAATTGATTCCGTGACTGGGGTAGTGGGGTAGGTGTGTCAGAGACAAAAAAGATTGGCACAGGACAGAGCAGTGTTTAGGCCTGTTGTACAGAGGGTCCCTATGAGTAACAGGTGAGTTTAAGGCACATAACAACAGCAACAATTGATATTTTAACTAAAGTTTACAGAAAACTTGGATTTCCCTCATTCATTATTGCACATTTTCCGCCCTACCAGCCCCTACCCCATTTGCTTTTCTCTCTAAAAAGATTCTTTCACTGTTGCACAATTTCTTCCCTCCCCCAGCTCCCCAAGTCAACTTTGTTATGCACCTCTTATTCTAGGCTGTTGTCACGCAACGTTCTTTCCCTCATCTTTTTAAATGTTGTTGTTGTTGTTAAGCGCCGTGGAGTTGTAAAGGACCCATAGCAACCACTTCAACAAAAGTCTTTAAAACAAAACTTGCATCTTTTCTCCAAGTTCACAGAGTTTCCTAAGGCAAGTTTCTTTTGAAAGTAATGACACTCATACTTCAAAGCCTGCTTTATTCGGGAGATCCTAGAATTAGCCCCAGACTAGCAGCCAAAAGCCTTTCTAAAAAGGACGCCAAATCCAGTCATCTAAGAGGCACACGCTAGTCTCAACCCAAATCAGAAAACACACCTTTGCAGGATCCAGCCATTCCATTCATCTTCCCAGCACGGAAAATGCCCCAGACTGGCCTCCCAAAGCTGTTTAAAGGCAAGGCCAAATTCAATCAACTCACACCCTATTGTGAGCCAGAGCACACCCCAGTCTCAACCCCAACCAGGATGTTGTATTCATTATTTATCCCATCTTTTTTTTTTTTAATTTCTCCTCAGCCCCCATCTTAGTCCTGTTTTATAACAGAGGCATTATGCAGTATTTGTCCTTTTGTAACTGAGATATTTCACTCGGTATAATGTCCTCCAGGGTCACTCATTTTGTATAATATTTTATGAGTTCCTTGTTTTTCAGTGCTATATATTATTCCATTGTGTGGTATATTCCATTGACCTTCTTGTATATTGATTTCCTCATTTTTCACAATATTGAGAAGTTTTCTTCCAGTAGCTCTTCTACAATTTTCTCAGTAATTTCCCTGTCCTTCTCACATTCTGGAATTCTAATCATACATGTGGTGTTCCTTCTGATGTCATCTTCCATGATTCTAATGTTAGCTTCATTTTCTTTATTTCTCTCTCTGATTTTTCTTCTAGTATGTTTCCACTAAGGTTCTTGTCTTTAAACTCACAGACTCTATCTCTTCCATTCTACTCTATTGTCCTCCCTTTTCTTTGTATATTTGGATATTTTTCCCATTTTTGTCTTAGTATCCTGAATTGCATTTTCATGCATTTCTGTTATTTCCAGTTCTGTGTGGCTGTGCCCTATCTTGTGATGATTTTTTAAGTTCATTTACATCTTCATCTATAGTCTTCATTCTTTCTTCCATCTTTTGCATTTTCTTCTATAGTTCTGCAAGATCTTCTTCATCAATATATTTCTGC